CATCCATCCATTATCTTTTACCTGCTTCTTCCATTCTGGGTCATGGGGTCGCCGGTACTCATGTCCAGCAATCACTGTGCGAGGGGCGAGGTACATCCTGGACAGGTCGCAAGTCCATCACAGGATATTCTAAACAATGTTTCTAAACTCTAAATGCTCTAAAAGAGCACAGCATGTCATGAACTCAGCTCTCTGTCATGGCTGCACTCTGCACTCTCGGCCACGCCCACTTCTCCACTGACGAATGGAGATGCAAAGTAGCGAGGGACTACTATAATCAGTTTTTATGATTACAGCAGTCCCTCACTTCTTCGCGGTTCATTTATCGCGGAGTCGCTATATCACGGTTTTTCAAAGTAAGACTGGACATCACACAACTGACTGATTGATGGATGAGCCACGGGTTGTTCATTTAAAATAAATTATGTTTAAATGATTTTGCACCATGTGTGAAACCCACAAGTGCACGAGAAAGCTCCCTCTTGCAGCTGATCAGCTGATCTCCTTCTCTGTCACACACACACACACACATTTCTCCTGCAGCAGCTTTGTGAAGGTTAACCCTTTGCTGTCCAGATGCACTGATAGACTCTTGTCTTTTAACTTAAAATTCAAAGTATGTCACATTGTAAAAATCATCATAAAGACAAAATATAAACATGTTAAAAGTTATTTTTAATTATTTTAGAACTTCATGTTCAGTTGTTTCAGTGGAACTGATCAAGAAGTACATTGCTGCTCCGTGCTGCAGAGCTGAAGCTGTGTGACATCCCTTTGATGTACTGCTGCACTTCTCTTCTCTACAATTTAAATTTAAATACTGTAACATTTTGAATAAACAATCCATGCTGCATGGATTGTTTATTCAAAATGTTACAGTATTTACATGTAAATAGTTTATTTGAGGAGGAAGAATGGGAGTAACAGGTGATGTGTGTGATTACAGCCTGGCACAAGTCTTGACAAAGTTTACTGAACTTGAACTTGAACTACTGGATCCCTACTTTGCAGTTTTTCACTTATCGCAGGTGTGCGTGGTCCCAAACACCCGCGATAAACGAGGGACCACTGTAACTCAATTGGTAGCTCAGTTTTGTACACTGCATTGTCAACTTTGAATTAATAGTGTAGTTATGGTGCAGTCTCATGTGTGTATATATATATTTTTTTTTACTTTGTACACTGACTCATCTTTTTATATATCCAGGTGCTGTTAAATAGCAGTAATCTTCCCAAAAAGGAGCTACTGATTGGATTAAACAAAGATGAAGGAACTGCCTTCCTTGTTTATGGAATGCCTGGTTTCAACATCAGCAGTGAAAGTCTCATTTCCAGGGATGAATTCCTGAGAGGTGTCCCACTGTCAATGACCAGTGAAAGCTCTGTCACAAGAGAAGCTGCCATTTTTCATTACACAGATTGGACTGATGTGCATAATAGGACAAACAACCGTGATTCACTTGGTAGCCTGGTTGGAGACCAGATGTTTAACTGCCCTGTGCTGGACTTTGCTCAAAGGTAAGGAGCAGTCTCAGTTTTTAAAATGTTATCTGGAGCTTAAAAGTTAATTTTAAAAAATATCTCTATGTCACAAAAATAATTTGATAAAGACTTTCTTTTTTCTTTAACAATACCAGAATATTAAATAAATGTTTTTACAATATGCATCAGTTGACCTACATCTTTGCCACTCCTTGTGATCATGTGTGCTGCTGTATATATTTTTCGGTTAACACTTGTAGGGACATCCTTGTGTTTTGTGCAAAATTGAATTTATGGCTTTCAAGCTTTGTTGTCTTTATTTTTTTTTCTGCATAAGCAGGGGTCTGCAACCTGCGGCTCTGGAGCCACATGCGGCTCTTTGGTCCTTCTGCAGTGGCTCTTTCAAGCGTTGACCAAAACTAACATAAAACTGAATTTTATCGGTTGTTATACAAATGACAAAAAGGAATAGTTTTAGCAGTTTTCCTGTCATTTCTTTTGTAAATATGTGAATATTGGAACAAGTACAAGGAGTAAAACATACTCACTTTAACTTCATGCTTTATCTCTATACTTAATAAAATTTTCCACAATTAAAAAAATATATAGGTCTGCTTAGTTCATAGTTTTTATTAATTAGAAAACTACTACCCCCCCCCCCCAAGAATCTGGTCTTTTCATTTGTCTTAAATTGTAAAAATATAAATTATGATATATTTTTAGCTTAAAGTCACCCCTAATGGCCACACAAGTCTCCTCCAAAAAAACCTAAAATGGCCCATGGACCACCAGTTGATAATCACAGTTGTAGCATCGGCTCTGATCACTTTTAATTTAGTGAAGGAAGGTGTAAAATGGTTCTTTTGATCATAAAGGTTGCAGACCCTTGTGCATGAAGAACAAGACAAAGAGGAACAAATTACAAGTTTTTGCAACAAGCTTTTGCTACAAAAAGGCATACATATAAAGTTTAAAAGTACTCATTGCAAACTGGGAAGTCAAACAACTATAAACAAACGTTATTCTGAACTAGATCAAATGGTGCAGTTTGAAAGCATTTGCTCCAGTATATGCATTTTTTAATCGATATGCACTCCATATAAACATAGCCCTCAGATGAATGCATAATTAATCAAGTGGCAGATTGTGTCATGTGACCGACCCATCTTTGGATGGCCATAGTCTGTGTAGGTGATCAAATAGCAGATTTGGACAAACGTAGAGATGAGGAGACACTTGTTTGAAATGTGAGAGTGAATTAGCTGCTAAACCACAGTTAAAGGGGAAAAGACAAATGAGAAAACTGCCCTGGGAACAAGAATTTTTTCAAAAACACTTTTACACGACTTGTTCTAGACTAGTAAGTTTACCATTTCAATCAAAGCTCTTTTCATCTGCATGGACATAAGCCATAATCAGTTGCAAAGTTTAACAAACTGCTGTACAGTAAGTGGGGCCACAGTTGCTCAGTGGTCAGTACCACAGTCTTATAACCCTAGGACTGCAGGTTCAAACCCATGTTACGTCAGGAAGGGCATTCGGTGTAAAACAATACCTCAATCTTTAGGTGAGTTTGCTTGTTGTGACAACCCCCGCAGAAGAGAGAACCATCCATCATCCATCCATTATCTTTACCCGCTTATTCCTTTTCGGGTGGTGGGGGTCACTGGTGCCCATGTCCAGCCATCACTGTGCAAGAGACGGGGTACACCCAGGACAAATCTCCAGTCCATCACAGGGACACATAGAGACAAACAACCATTTACTCTCTCACTCACACCTAGGGACAATTTAGAGTTACCAATCAGCCTAACATGCAGGTTTTTGGTCTGTGGGAGGAAACCAGAGTACCTGGAGAAAACCATGCATGCATAGAGAGAACATGCAAACTCCACCCAATGGTCCCCGAACCGGGATTTGAAACAGGGTAACTTGCTCGCTCTACCAACAGTGCCACTGTGCTGCAAGTGAGAAGTCCTATTGCCTCAGATTTGTTAAATTCAGTCACACTAGTGCAAGCAAATCAAAGTACTCGCTCATACATCACCCTTGCAAAGCAAAAAAATAAAATAAAAATCTGACAAATATGAGGCAGACTCAGCCCTAGGGGAAACGTTCAAAAATATTATTGACCAGTAAATTATTATACTACTAAATAATAATGTCACCTTAATAATGAACTAATAAATTGTGCAGATTGTTTAAAAATATATATTTTTAAATCAAATAGAATTTTTTTCTACTTTGTAGGTTAGTGTTAAGTGGCTTTACTTAAATTGAAATTGATTTTTGAAAAAAAATAAAAAATAAATACATAAAGAACCTAAAGTCTAGAAAAAAATTCAAAAATACCTCTCATATTTAATCGAAATATAAAAAGTGTGGTAATTTAAGACGTTTGCACAGCTCTGTAAGTAATGTACAGTATCCAACCTCCAAAACAGTGCTCCAAATGAGAATTGCTGTATCAGCACTGTTACAATAATTTTGTCTTTTATTGTCATAAAGGAAAGATGGACTGTTTTATTTTTATGCTTGACATGTTAGAGTGATATATATATATACATATATATATATATATATATATATATATATATGTGTGTGTGTGTGTGTGTGTGTGTGTAAATTTGTACATAATTTATGTATTTACTTATTCCAGGTACTCAAAAGGTGGTGGTAAGACCTTCCTGTATTCATTTGATCACCGGTCATCTCGTAACCCCTGGCCTGAATGGATGGGAGTTATGCATGCCTACGAGATAGAATTTGTCTTTGGAGTACCTCTGAATACATCCCTTGGATACACCAAGTATGAAGTGAACATGACCAAGAAGTTTATGAAACACTGGGCCAACTTTGCTCGAACAGGGTAGGCCAACTAGTGAGTTGCAAGATTACTCAATGGCCGTTGAAATGCAATTTAACAGTAACGTTCATGTCTTTCTTTTCAGGAATCCAGAGATTGATGGTGCTACCTGGCCATTGTTTACCTCAGAACAGCAGGAGTACATAACTTTGAACTATCACCATCCAGTACAAAGAAGGATGATGAGAGTCACAGAGTGTCAGCTCTGGAACAAAATACTGCCTCAAATACAGAAGAACTCAGGTTAAACAACACACAAGCTCATGTGCTGCCCCCCTACACACACACACAACATGCTGTCTATCCACCTTATTCCTAGGCCCCATGCAGTCTTGCTCGAATTATGGCGCAGACCAGAACTAGCATTTGCTTATTTGCCAACAGTACGAGCCAATAAAAAAGGTTGAATCATGTCATCTGGACTTCGTTTTTTTGTTAAAAAGAAACGTTTCGCCCCTCGTCCAAGAGGCTTCGTCAGTCTGAGGCCTAGCCATCTGGTATTACCCAGAAGCCACCCTGACTCTTGTGTTTCAAGCCTGCCTCAGATACCCCTGAAGTCTGGCCTTTTCACTAATGGTTTCAAAAACACAAAGTTTGTTTTCTCAGTCATCCAGGTATATAACAACAA